GAACTCTACCCAAACCTCGGATAGCAATGTCTCAGCGCGCGTTACCGTGCACACGCCCTGCATCGTCCACAATAGCTCCTCTGGATTTGTGGATATCCAGGCTTTGTCTATACAACATATAGCGCCTTGTCTGTACTTCAAACGAGAGCCAAAGCGGCACCTGAACTGCATTCTGTGCATATCGAAACATACGCAGCCTGCCGGTGTTAGTGCTCACACAGGAGACTCGATCCGACACTTGTAGGGAAGTAATATCCTGGCAGCCGGGGGACAGTTCGCGGAATAGGAGAGAGGGATAGCGCACTGGGAACACGGCGGGGATTCGATTGATGAGGCTTAGCCGGCAGTGAGCATGGCACCGCCGGAACAGCTCCGCACCACGTTCGATCGAAAGGCCCACGTCAAGTCGCCTGGATGTGGAGCTGTCGTGGTCATTGCAAGTCGGGCACCGGTATCGGCGGCGAGGCCAAAAACGGATGAATGACGATCGAATCCGGAAAGCGGGCGGCGGCGTGCGGTGCAGTGTCGAATTGCGTGCGCGTTCGATTTGTTCTCCGTCTGCGTTCTCCCGCGTCGCCTGCACAGGTCCCCAGCTGTGCACCGTCCCCCAAATGCTTAGGGCTCAAGGTCCTGCCGTCCCGTGTCAATCCTCTCAGCAGCCAGCCTGGTCGGATGGTCATACAGGCTCGGTGCTACGAGGCTGCCCTTGCTGGGATCACAGCAGCTGCCTTTGACGTTCGTGCGCCCAGAATGCGTCGGCGCCGGGCTTGTGCAGGCAGGAATTTGATGTGCGAGGGAGCGGGAACGCGGCCATTATCGGATGCAGCCACGGATCAGCGAGTCCTCTCCGCTATGAGCACGCACGTACGCGACAGTCAAACATGTCATCGAGTATGAAACTGCCAAACAGACTCCGACCCCCTTTTCCCGCCGCCTGTCTCCCCACATTGCCGCCCGCTCTGCCCGCCAGATGTTAGTGCCCCGCGCCCATCCTATTGAGACACACTCACTACCCATTGAACTTCACTCCCAGCCACGCAGGTACATCTGCTGCTGCTTCTTCAACACCGTGCGCTATGTCTTTGTGTGCCCCTGCCTTGACATATAGATGTGAGTCCTTACCGGTTACCATTGCGTCTCCATCCTGTCTCTCCATTGAATGATACGCTTAGTAGAGACGGGGCGGCCAAGAAGACAGCCTACGCAGCTCCGCGCACACGTTCCCTCGGTGTCCACGGGCCGCCGCCGTCATTTGCACATCCTACATTCTCGTCGCTAGGCGGGTGACAGGAACTAGCAACATACTGGCAAGGTGCGCAAGCCTGCATCCATCGCCCCAGGCGTCTTCGCGGAGCGCACCCGAGCCTCCTTTGCACAACGCCGCACCTAGTTCCCCACCCATCTGCTACCTAGCCCAGGCTGTCCTATCTGGCAACCATCCGCCATTGCGCGGATGCCCCAAGCGTGTGCGTCACCATTCTGCGAGTAATTGACCATACTCTTCCAGCAAGTCGGTCAGGACGGCACAGGCTCTGGAAATTGGCCACAACGGGAAAATCTCGTTTGCCTCACGCTTGATGCTCGTGTGTGTATTAAAACAGCAGGGGAACCTCCAGGTCCTGCAGAGAAGCGGGCGCGGCACTGGGGAGGGGCACCTGTTCCACGGGCTCTTCCATGTCTGTCGAAGCACTGACGCGAAGCGAGCATGCTCACCTGCGTCCCTGGTATGATGCTTCTAACAGAGTACGCATATCGCCGCTCCATAGTGTCAAGACTTTGATTCGAAGCCGCAGGACGTAATCCTAAGCGCATGCGCACGCGGTGGAAAAGATGCAAGCGGATTATATGTGTGTGTCGGTCCCGGCTATTGACGAAGCAGGCCACTGACCTCCGTGCACCATGTTCTGTGATTCTGAACATTACACCTCCTGTCCCGCCCCATGTGTGTCGCTGCTCCGACAGACCGTCCTTAACATTCCCCACATTCCTGCGTCACCCCTAGACATCCGTTCCAGTTACTTGTCTCTCCACATCCGAGTCCCTCTTCCGAGAACTTGCGAGGGCGGCCGTGCAGGAAAGCCGCACCGTAGCGGAGGTCGCACGCGTGACGCGGTATTTTGTGCCAAGTGGATGGAATGGGGTGTTTATATGTCAAATGCGGAGTGGAAGTTCGGTGAGTCTTCTCCGTCACGATCCCGCATGCCTCCGCAACTGGCTTCCCCTGTTGTCCGTCTCTCCGCGTCGCTGCCTCGCCTGCCAGATCCCCCGCGTACCCTATACCATTCTATCCACGGTGCTCTCCGTCACACTGGAACGTCCTGCATGCATTGCATCCCCTTCCTCTTGAAACTCGCGCGGCACCGTCTAACGAACGTCGTTGGCGCAAACGGTTTCGTTTGTCCTCACGGAAAACGCCTAACAGAATCTGCGCTGACCTTACGACGTCATCACCGAAATCCCACCGGCATGTTCACTCCCTCTAGACACGCTGTTTGTTTGCGCGCCGTGTCGCCCCCGCGGATATTAATCCAACTGGGCGACCTTCCTCTCGCTCCCCTTCGGAGGCTCGCACGGCCGCGTAGCGCGTATGCACCGTGCTCGTGTGCGCGACGGGAACGAAAAACAGGAAAGGGGCAAGGGGCCGTCGTAGTCATTAGATGCGGGGTGCCAGTACCATCCGGCGTTTCTGCCATGCGCTCATCCGCCGTCCATCTTGCCTCTCCTCCCGCTTGTATGACCGCTTTTATAGACAATTACTGAGTGTTTCTATGTATGTATGGGAAAGATTAGACGTACTGGAAGTTTTGGAGATGCACAGTCTGTGCAATAATTACCTGTGGGGTGTTAAGGTCTGCACAGAGTTGGGTGCGAGATATTCAAGCCCACAGATGAAAGAACAGAGGCGTAGTTCCAAGTATGCAAATATGATTTTTGAGATGCGCCAGTGGAATGCAGGGAACACTGCTCAACAATCTTCAAGCTCGTCGTGAACAGGCTGCTGGAGAGCCGTTCGGAAGACGCTGGGTATCGGCAGTTGCCGGCGCGGCATCTATCTTAGATCGTTCGCCTTGGGTCCCATCCGGTCCCCTCGCCCGCCGAAACTTCATTCAATCCAATCCTGTCTCTTGTATGCACCAGAGCGCGTCCGTGATTCCACGTCCTATCTCCATCAAACCTAAGCATTTCCCGTTTGTCTTTCTAGCGTTTTTATCCCGTCTCTGCCTGCCCTCCTCTCCATCTCGATCGACGTCCTGCCTCTGTCCCTCTTCATTGAATCTTTGAAAGGGCGCCAATCTGTACACGCAAAGTGCGGTACTTTCCAACTCAAGCGATGTTGTCGCTCTTCAGCTACTCGTCATCTTGAGGCTGCATTTGAGCTTAGTTGAACGGGGGTAGCCTGTGATGAGCCGGTATCGAGATAT